TTTCGTACCCTCCTCCGGGCTACCGCTTTTTACTGCTGACTTTGCCGACTGGTGAAGGAGTGCAATTTTGTGTTTTTCTCCACGGAGATCCATCGAAGAGGCCCTATCGAATCGAAGATTACCGGGAACCTCCTGAAGAAGCCGGCGTGCTCAAGGACCGTAAGTGGTATAGGTGCGTTCCAGATGAGCCATGTCTGGCTTGTCAATTTTCGCACGTGACAGGCAAAGGACACTGTGGTTGGCAAAGGAGGCTTACGTGTGAAAGGTAGATGTTGTGCAATAATTGATCCTTGTAAGCAGGACATTACGCTGAAGATTCACTGGGTGCCTTTCCACATCTCTGGAGAGCTCTGCGAAAGGCTCTGAGTGAGTTGAGTGAAGTGAAGGACGTGCGTCTTGACGAGTGGCGTGTTCCTGGATTTGAGTTCGCAGAATCGACAACACGAGTTGTACGGATGGTCCTCAATGAAGGCGTGTTAGTCGAGAAACTACCACATCTGTTCAAGTTCTACAACGGTTCTGTACTTGTCGTTGTTCCTGGACGAACGCCAGTTTGCCTGGGGTGCCGAAGGCGTGGGCATATCAGACGTGATTGTCAGACGCCACGTTGCACGGGGTGTCGTGCTTTTGGACACGTCAGGGAGGGCTGTGCTAGAACGTATGCAAGCGTTATTGGCGCGTCTCCTACTAGAAACGACAGCCACGAGAACATTATAGACGCCGACGAGGCTGAGACTACGGCACCAATGGCGAAAGACTGTTCTCCGCAACGCGGACCAAGCGGACAACCTGAGCGCTCTGAAAGTTCGCTGACAGAGCCTGAGGTCACCAACGAGGAGACGATCGAAGACCAAAACGCAGTGGAGCAACAGGAATGTGGAGACTACCGCGGCTGTGACCTGTCGAAGGATAGCGTAGCGCCGACAAAGCGCCCGAGGACGGACACTACCTTGCCAAGAGAGAAGGCATCCGACTGCAAGCAGCAACGCCGTGAGCGTCCGTCGCCCAAAGCCGGTGGTCTGAAGGGCAATACATATGCAATGTCTCGATCGGCGTCCTCGTCGCCTGCGCGCGGCGAATGGCGCAGAAAGTGAGCGTTCTGGCCTTGAGCCTGGACGCGCACTGGTGGTGTTGAGCTAACCGTGTAAGTCTGTTTACACTTGTGCAAAATGATGCGTCTGAGTGCCATGATTCGCATAGGCACGCTTAACGTGCGTGGATTGTCTGCAAGGCGTAAAGGTGTAGGGGGAGGCGTCTCATTGACGAAAAAAACTTGGACATACTTGCTGTCCAAGAGACAAAGGTCGAAAGCGAGAGTGGAAGTGAACATATGGTTGCCCCTTTCACCACGCGTTATAACGTGTGTGTTAGCCATGAAATAGGAACTTCTGCAGGGTGTGCAATATTTCTTAAGAAATGCCTAGGCATTGGTAAAGAAACAGTGGTTACATCTTTGTATGGAAGGTTTGTTTTTTGCGATTTTACATATGAAGACGCAAAATTCAGAATAATTTGCGTGTACGCAGCAACAGATCCTCGTGATCGCTTATCTTTTTTTCAAGAACTGTGTCCTTATTTTGAAACGAATAGGCTACTTGTTGTTCTTGGTCATTTTAACTGTCTGTTCAGTGCAGATGATCGATCTAGTTGCTTAGAAAGAAAAGATGGACAGTGCTAATTACCTATAAGAGAGTATTGACAGGCATTCCCTTCAGGATGTTGCTTTCTTTGCTAAAGGCGGATTGCGGCGTCATTATACCCACTTTCAGGGATCTAGCCACGCTAGAGTGGACAGAGCTTACGTGGTATTAGAAGTGGCAAACTTTTGTGATGGTTATGATGTTGAACAAGTCTCATTAGGCGATCATTCACTTGTTATGTTTTCCTTAGGCCAAAAAGAAGCGCCTAAACGTGCATTTATATAGGACCTCTGGAAGTTAAATGCCAAACTACTTAGCGATGATAAGTTTTTCAAATGTATCAAAACAGAAATACACAAACTTTGTCACGATGTGTTGTTCAAGTACGACGAACCAACTCGCCCAATCTTCATAGCGCTCTGTCCTCTTGTGTCGGTCTGCTCGGCCGTTTCTTCTTCCCCATAATGCGCTATACCAGTTCAAGTACAAACTTTGCACCCTTGCATTTAGTAACTGGTCGAAAAATTGGGAATCTTTTAAATCTACTGTGAAAATTTGCGCCATGGAAAGGGCTGCAGAATAACGGTACAAGGAACGAGTGGAGGAGGACAGTTTAAAGATGTTGCTTCTAGAATACAGCAAGGCAAAAACAGAAAACCCTGGATTTTACGACGAAGTTATTCGAGATATTAAAAACAAATATGAGGTCATTGACGTCGCTAAATTCAAGGTGTGGTTGTAAGGGCTCGTGCAGACAGGTTACTTGAAGATGAAATGCCTAATCAGAGATTTCTCACTCTGGAAAAAAGTATGCGCGTGCTAAAGACATCCGAGAAATTGAATATAATGGACAGTTAACGACTGAACCCGAAGATATAATCAATGCATTTACAGAATATTATCGCGAATTATTTTCCAATCGTATACCTAAAGAAGCCACTTTTAAAAAAGATTTTCTTAGCTTCTTGCAAACGCTAGATCACCAAGACACAGAAGGTATATCGGTTGATATAACTGTGGGAGAGATAGAAATAGTTATGTACCCATTGCATAGCGAGAAATCTCCTGGCCCAGACAGGTGAACGGCCGTATTCTACAAGATTTTCAAGGCAGAGTTAGCCACTGTTTTACAAAAGGTTTTCGCTGAATCTTTTAACAAGGGTAGCCTACCACCTTCATTCAAGAAAGCACACACTGTTCTAATCGCGAAAAGTAAAGACCCTTTAAAACAGAAATATGTGTCTGATTATAGGCCGATGACATTGACAAATGTTGACTACAAAATACTAATGAAAGTTCTTGCGATGCGGTTGCAAACAGTCATATGTACACTGGTTGGCCCACGTCAAACCTGTGGAATAAGAGGAAGATCAATTTTTACGAACATACATGTAACACGAAGCATATTGGAGTGCTGTGACGCTGACTTCAGAAGGGTGGCAATGTTGAAACTCGATCTAGCGAGGGCTTTTGATCTATATTGTCATAGCATTTTGTTTAAATTGTCAGATAATGTTGGCGTTGGCTCTGTGATACCTAAGGATGTTGATATGGCTGACGACAATTGTTCAACCAAGTTGATTGTGAACCACGAGTTAAATAGAAGAATTAATGTATGTTCATTTAAAAGGCAAGGATGCCCACATTCAACTTTATTATTTGCTTTGTACCTGGAACTTCTGTGTGCGGACATTACAAAAAATTCAAATATACAGGGTTTTCATTTAGGAGCGTGTGAGGTAAAGATATTGGCATATGCTGATGATGTTGCAATACTCTGCACTAGTCAGGAGAGCATATCCACATCCATGAGCATTGTACGAAGGTTTTGTTATGCTACTAGTAGCATATAAACATAGACAAGTGTGTTGGCCTTGGCGTGGAAATTGGGAAGCGTTCCCAGTGGTTTATGAACGGATCGAATGGTCAAGCAAGCCTAACACATACCTCGGTGTTCGCTTTACCAGTATAAGAACAACGATGATCTGTGTGCCGAGAAAATCAAAGGGCTATCTGTTCTGACACGGAAATGAGGAGGCCGTGATCTGTCCATCTTTGCTCGCGGGACAATATGCAACGTCTTCTTAGTATCGTGGCTGGTTTACTTGCTGCAAGTACTGTCATGTTCCAGGATCAATATCCAGAGGATTCATAGGCTTCTTGCTGTTTTCGTGTGGCAATCCCAGTACGAATGAACAAGCCGCAACAACTTCTTAAGACTAAAAAGAGGTGGTTTAGCATTGCCACACTTGTTTTTGAGGCAGGCTGTATCAAGGTTTCTCTTTCTACGAGACCAACAAAATCCGTTTTTACACACATTCCTTCAAATCAGGCTAGCATCGGCATTGCCGAACTTTGTTACCTCAAATGATGAATTCCGCTATGGTGTCAGTACCTTTCTTCAAAAAGTTGTTGTGGCTTTTCGATTTCTTAGTGTCAGATTTAGTTTGGAGTACTTATCTAATGTCATTCAGAAGCGTTTGTCGAGAGACTTGATTGAAACTGTTTTTCCTGTTCCTTTGTACTGTTCTATGTATAGTTGAAGCCAAGGAGAAGACGTTTTGAAAAGAAGTTAAAAAGATGTTCGTACCAGCTGGAGTTAAAACATTCTTTTATAAGATGCACATGAATACGCTGCCGGTTAAAACGTGGCTAGAACGTAGAGGTGATTCTTTACCCTGGGGATTCAACTGCCTATTGTGCCGAAAGCCTGAGTCGGTAGAGCATGTTTTTGCAGATTGCTGGGATGCATTTTTGTTCTGGGATGTTCTACAGAGAACAATTAAGAAAACTTTACCTCTCACTTCACATGGAATTTGATTTTTAGCAATAGAACCTGGCCTACTAAATGTATGTTCTTTCTCCTTGGCTTACACAGCATATGGCTAAGCCGCATGACAGTCAGACATTGTGATTTAGACGCGCGGCCAGTACGTATTTATATTATTAAACATATGTGCATGTTTTGAGACGTTTTTGCGAAACTTTGCTACAATGATGAACTACTAAATGTTATGGATGAACTATGTCAATTGAAACAATTTTAAGTATGTGTGGCAAATGGCTCATCTGCCTTGAAGCCATGAAGTTCACCTAGAAGCTCACTCCGAGTGTGTTTGCTGTTGTTTGAATGTCACATGCTGCAATAAAGACAAAAAATTCCTGCTGTGATAGCTCAGTTTATTAAAGCACCTGTCTCCGAGTACGTGAGTCTGCCAGTCGCAAGCTCGAATCCTAGATGTCATTACTTTTTTTCAAGTTTTTTTAAATGTCAAATTGAAGCAGAGTTGGCCTGACTGCTTTAAATAATTCGTTCTTGTTTTTTTTTCAGAAGGAAATCAGGCGGAAGGCTGAAGTTGTATTTAAAAGGCCCGACACGTACGTCATTATTGCTTTTTCTGCTGGTGCGTCATTTGAATGAGGCACCAGTGTGATCTTGCCAGCTTAATATATTCCTAGGAGAAATATTCTTGAGCCCAGAAAAAAATAGTGGAAATCCTTGGCGCACTAATAAAAAATCCAACTAGGTTTGGTGTCGTCTGAAACAGAAACTGAATATGCAAAAAACTATGACAACATAACGAAATATTGCTAGTGTTTTTACGCTTGTTACTGCTATGTTTACGGTTGTAAGTTCTGGTTCTTTCGAACTGAAAGAGCAAATTTGATAGGTTAAAAAGATTTATTGCTAATATACCTTTTAATCTTAGCCGTGAAACATTCACTTTTACGGCTCTGTTAGCAACACTGGCGTGTTTTCTTTTTCATGGCTTTCACGAAAAGTCTTGTGTGCGTGAAGGATCGCTCGCATGTCAACTGTTGCGCAGTTCTTTTACATATTAAACCAGTTTGACACGATCAATAGGGTTGTAAGTGCGAAGAACGTGTGGAACCTCTGGGGTCGCCAACAGTGCTTACAGGGAGCACCGATGAAAGGAACAAAGGCTGCCGCTACGACACCGTACTTCTGCATACAACAAGTGAAGTAAAATTCGTAATTTCTCATTACATGGTCCGCGTTTTGTGTGCGTATGTTTAATGTCTTTTCTCGCTAGGCTCGTCCAAGAAGAGAATCCCCCCCCCCCCCCCGTACTTGCGAAGTGCTCAACTACGCCGTGTTTAACCAACTAGGTCACGTTCCATAGCGCTTGCTGAGCGCTCGCTACATGTAACCTGCGTATCGAATACCGTGCGCAAAGCTTGCAGGTGTAGCTTTGCGAGCGTCTAGTAAAGGAAGCCCGCAAGAGGTTGGCTCAGAATGCACGCGCATGACAAACGCGAAGCTTTGCGTGTGCTGTTCTAAAACTGCATATACAACAATATGTGCTCACGTAGAGCTGCCGACGACGCGAGAGAGGCATGTCAGCGGATGCTACGCTTTACGCAGAGTGCAAATCTATGGAACCATTGTTTGCGAAGATTTTCTTAATCGGAGTGATCCTACGATAGTATTCAGATGACTTGTCGAATACCGCAGTTCTTGATCATGTGTTTTGTCCCGAATGGAGTGAATGTGACAGGCGCAAGCGACTGATTATTATTATTGAGTTTTTTAGGTACTGCAGCCCAATTCAGGGCTAACAGGAGCTGGGTACATAATACAATTGGAAAGAATAACGATGACAGCACAAGTTCTTCAACAGAACAAATATTGTACATCCTAAGCATAACAGGGTACGAAATGAAAGAAATGTACCATATAGGTCATTCAAATAAATAATAATGCTCGAAAAAATAGGAACATAATATTACATGTAAAAATGGCCTTAAGACAGTACCTACGTCTCGTTGGAAGAGCATTAGCATACGCGATGTGATTATCATTAGATAACTAACATATGTTCTTAAATGCGCTGCACCACAGTGCTCGTGCTTCAGGAAAAGCTCGAAACAAGCATGCGACCTGCGAAGCCCGAAGCTTACCAGCTTTTAGGTTCCTTTAGTGCCACTCATACATTATTTTGCTCCGTGTGAATATAAATATTTCTTCAGGTGTTTGTTCATTAGTCGTTATTTTTCCAGCTCAAATGAGCAAGGTTGCCGGTGTGTCGACACCACCCTTTTGCCGCTTGTGTCTCCAATGATGGACGTCTCGTCTTTAGGTGCTATCATCATTGCCTAATATTCCCAAAAATTATGATCAGCTCATGCAACTCAAGAAAAAAATACAAGGAGTCTCACCGTCACTGCCATGCCACTTTGAGGCTATAAAATTGCTATGCTTAGTGAGACCGTAAAGTACTCTCATATGACTATGCATATTATTTTAGATTTTTTAGCGGTAGCTACATTGGCTACATTATCGCCGTTTTGCTGCATCAGGTGGTTGCACCACTCACCGCGTCATTTGGCATGTGACAGAAAAGAAGCAAACCCCATTGCAACTGCATTTACAATTGAAAGTCAACATTGTGTGTGCGTGTTCTACTCTATTGTGCTGTTAAGACTTAACGAAGGAGAACCTGACATTGCATCGTAAATATAGAAGTGACGGCTCAGTCGGAATCGTTGGCAGATATAAAAAGTGAGTCGGAGCCATGGGCTTAGAGGAGCCGTGGACTTCAGAACGAAACCAAAGAAAGGCAGCGAGCTAAGGACACAAAGGAAGAATGAGCCACATCCCTTCACAAGCATACCCGTGCAGAGAACCAATCTGAAAACGACAGATTTAACGGGCATACACAGCAGCTCGGTGTATCCAGCCTGCCAGTCATTTCCTGTGGCAGGCTGTGTTCACAAAGCTACTGAGGATGCCAGCTAAATTTCTCCAATAAGAATAACTGCACATCTCGCTACACGCACCCAGGCATAGCTGAATTAAGTCACAGCCATTTTTAAGTGGCATTCTATGCCAGCCAAATCAACCAGACCATCACGATTATGGCTGAAAAAAATTTCATATCTTTCTTAAAGTTCGAAACTCGTCCTGCTTACCTGCAGGACTGTGTTATCGCTCATTCACACTGGCTCACCTGGGGCAGTTATCGCTATAAGTGAGACTTTTTTTTTTGCCAAGTCTTGACAATAGTGGCACTATATTTATTAGGTGGATGTGACACTACTGGTGCTCTAGAGGTTGTTGCTGCTTATCTCTTATAAGTTAATTCTCCAGGAAACGTTGCACATTTTGTTTCCAAGTGCGTGAATTGAAACTAAATTTTGTGTGGTTCAGTACAGCATTTATTGTGTGGTTTATTTTACAGCACTTAAGTTTATTTCTTACTGTCCTCTCAAGGATAAATCAGTGCGGGTATACTGCGTGTGTTTTAGTTCATAGTGCAATTCAGAGCTTATGAAACTCAGCACACCGTTTCAGTCATTGGGATGAAGTAATCAGTGTTGGTTTGCTGTTTTATTGTGGAATAATTTTCGGTTTGTGTGTGCGCAGGTTCACCTAGCTAATGGTGTGATGCTCTCGAGTGCCGCCTAGAGTCGGCTGATATGAGGTCCAAGGACTTCCATTTGGTCAAGTGGTCTACCATCACAATGAGGCGGACCAAGGCCGGTACGGCACGCATAGGAGCTTCACGGAAACTGTTGGAATTTGATTGCGCCAGAAGGCGGCCAGAAGCCTTCGCAGCAGCAATTGCCTCCACAGGAAGAAGCATAGAGAGGTTAGTGAGGAAGCTTGCTGATTTCAATGGAGCGTATGTTGTGTCATGCATGCATTTTATAAGCCGATTCCAGTTTGGCAACTACAGTGCACAGCTGCAAGTTATATATCTAGCCACAGAATTTCCAGCTATCAGCACACTTACCTTGAATGCTTCGACGCAGCTCCTTAACTTGCATTCACTGATGCCAGTGCTGCCAAGTGTTGGGCTCCGCATGTTTGCCTCAGCTTATAGTATATATGGAGCGGGGGTTGTATTGAGTAGTAAATTTTTGTTTCATGTCTGCCTGACCGGTGGATGTAATGCACTCACTTGGCAAGTCTATTTTTGCCATGTTTCGCTCATGGCTATATTCAACGCACCACCATAAAATTCGTTGCCATATGCTTGTCTATGCAATGAAGCATTGTGTGTGACAGCTAACACACCATTTGTTTTCGAAATTGCAGTTGCTGCTTGAACAAAGTAATATATTCGTTACAGAAGATCAACTGCTTGCTCACCACATTTCAGATTGAGTTATAGTGGAATATTTACAAGCACTATGAGTGTGAGTTTCCTCTGTTTTTCCAATACTTTACTTTTTTAGCAGCAGTATCTATTTCAAACCATAAAGATGCGTGAGTTGTCCCACACGATGGGTCATTGCTGAGATAAGCATTGGCAATGATTTTCATGGGCTTACGTAAAAATATCCGCAAGCAAAATGTGGGAAAAACGGACCAGCCAAGTGTGTTTTCGACCTACCAGTTAGGCAAAACTGAACTGGAAATTTACTGGAGAAATCGACCCGCACTTGAACTATTATTTGTTGCACTAAATAAACCAGTGTCCAACACTTGGCACGGGTTAGCATCAGTCGAAGCAGGTCCCATGTGGTGGAGTAAAGCAGATGCTGTACAGCCGTCTGCACCTTTAACTTGAATGGTCCGATGCGTGGCCTCAGCTCGCTCGAACTGAGGTCAGCGCCACCAAGCGTTGAAAATGATATGCTTGCTGCAGTAAGGAATAGATGTAGCAGGCATAGGTTTCACAAGTAAATTTCTGGTTCCAGACTGCCTGACCGGTGGGCCGAATGCATTCACTACGCATCCCGTTTTTGCCACGTTTCGCTCGTGGCTACGTTATCGCATGCACCCATGGGCGCCCATGGCATTCGTTTTCTCATTCATTTCTCGACAAAGAACCATTGCGTGGGATAGCTCACGCACCTTTCGTGATTTAATTGGAGTTGGCAGCTGCTGGTAAAAATCATCACACGTATAAAAAGCAGAGCAAACGCACGCTTAAGGCATTTGTAAAAGTTGCACAATACATCTGAAATTCAGTAGCATGGTTAATGTTCTGATTCAGCAATTTTCAGACAGCATGAATAAAACTGCTCTCGAAATTTAGAACGTGCCTTCCTGCTCGTTTTGCGCTGCACGGAAGATGTGGTCTTGGGGCACAACCTTTGAGTGGGCAACACTACCTGGTCCTTTAGCATGCCTACTACAATTTTATTATGAGATGGCAGTTTAAGCTTTTATGCGATAACTACGCACAAAAATCCCTTTCTTTGCGTTGTATTTTTGTGCCTTTCTTGCTGAAAACACGCACAAATATTGCACTCCACATGACTTATTCCGTGCAGCATGAACTGAACAGAAAGGCACACTCTAAATTGCGAGAAAAGTTCAATTGACGCTGTCTGAAAAATATTGAATCAGAACATGAACAACGCCACCACATTTGAGATTTCTTTATTGTGCAACTTTTACAAACGCCGTGAACGTGCATTTGCTCTGCCATTTATACATGCGATTCTTGCTGCGAATTCAAACTCATAAGAAGGGTAAGCTACCTCACGCAATGGCTCATTGTCGAGATAAGCATAGAACAAGGAACGCCATGGGCGTGGGCGATAAGGTAGCCACGAGCGAAACGTGGCTAGAACGGGATGCGAAGTGAGTGCATTCGACCCTTCGGTCGGGAAAACTCGAAACAGAAATTTGCTAGTGAAACCGACGTGCGCTAAATCTGTTAACTGCAGCAAGTATATCATGTTGAACGCTTGGTGGCGCTGATCTCAGTTCGAGCGAGCCGAGGCTACGCATCGGAGCGTTCAAGTTGAAGTTGCTTACGGCTGCACATGCCTGGTGGGGGAAATGCTGAAAGGCATCGCTACTTTGCTTTTGTCATTAGCATTTAGAAATAATTTTGGATTGTTGAAACTTAGGTAACATCTACTTGTTGCATGTTCTTCATTGTCTTTAGTGGTCTGCGGAAGGAAAACCTCAACTGTGATCCATGATTGTACCGACATTCCAGCTGTTGCTGGTTCATGATGTGTGAGCCTTTCCTTACTGACGGTTTGTTTGAATGATAGTCCTACCTTTAAAAATGAGTCCCTCAGTTGGCTAGGCTGTATGAGAAGCACAGTAGTCTTTACAAATGAATATTTACTGCTAGTGCTTCCTTAGTGAGCTGATAATCAACTGCCATAGTTCAGCGACAGGCGTTTCTTAATAAACAGAACTGAATCTGTGTTCTTTATTTTTGTTGGAGCTGTGCGAATAGCGAAATTTCGTGTGCGAAACAATTTCCAATAATGAAATGTGAGTTTCAATCAAATACTTTGAACATTCGTTGAATATTTTTAAACCTTGAAGTGAAGAAAAGCTGCTAAAGATTTCTAAGCACATAGAAATATGGCATTGTTTTTTTTTTGCTAGGTTGGTGAATATCAGGGAGGAACGTGCTCCCTCGTTTTGTCTAAGATGAGTCATTTCAGACCAAATCGCATTTATTTATTATAATTGGTGGAACCAATGGGGTGTCGACAGCAGTTTACGCGTAGTGAAAGGTTGCTCCCCCCCCCCCCCTCCGTCAACATCTGTGGAGTCCCTTCTTTGGTAGACAAGGGCGTGATCCTTTCGAATTTGGAGTTGCTGATCTGCTATGCAGATGTCTGTGTATAAAAACACCTGAAATTTCACATGTACAGTTTTTGTCGGCACTTTTTGGTCTGAAACATTAAACAAAGCTTCCACCCCTGCCATGCAGGTTTGAAACAGCGCTTTCGTGGGTCAATCTGATTATTCCCGTAGCGTAGCTCATGAAGCGATGAAGCATATTATTAAAAATGAAGGGGTGACTGTAACGGAACAGTGCATCTCTTCATGTTGGAACCAGCATTTTCTCGAATCAATGCATTTGCTACTGTAGCCTGGAAGGCAGCTTTGCCAAAAACTGAGGTTGTAGTGAGGTGAAGCAATGAAAAAAAAATCTGATGGGCTGCATTCAATTGAGCATTGACTGTTGTCTTTGGGAAGTTCTAATAGTAAAGCTTTCAGCGGAAAATAATCGACTAGTAAGTGCTATACGAAAAGTGTTTGAATAGCCGCGCAATGTTATTTTTTTTCTGAAAGTAACAGCAAAAATCTCCAACAAACATATTTCACTTCATTTATCAAATTGGGCAATGTTGTAATGAATTGTTCCTCTTTTCCATGCCTTGCATTGCTGCCTGAAGCCTTGTGGAAAAGGAAAACAATGCAGACCAACTCAAGGATCAAGCTCAGATGGAAAAATAAAAAAAAAACAGAGAAGTCAATTTCAGTCCTTCACTACAGTGCAAGCCTGCTAGTTTTACCCCTGCGCACGTAAAAGTGCATGTTTACAACCACAATACATTTATTTACGTAAAGAGAAGGAATACACGAGAACCCATCATGCAAAAACACAGCAGCCCGGTTCTTGCCGAACCACACAAGTCCGGGTTTTCCCAAAACACACCAGCCCGGGTCTTGCCAAAACACACCAGTCTGTCACACCAGAAAACGGCCGTGTACACCAAACGGGCCGTATACGCCAGAAACCGTGTCTGAATTTCCGCTCTGGTGTAAACGGGAAAAACACACCAGACACGGCCTGGTGGATTTTCGACTGGGATCCGTGCATCGACACAACAATAATGAGCACCGAACGCGTTATTCTAAGGTCGTAGGTTCGATTCCTGCTCACGGCAAGTTATTTTTTCACCCACAATTCTTTCTTCTTATTTACATTACATTGGTTCTAATATCTAATAACTTCCCCTATACATCATACCTTGGCATTATTATCTGTTACATCTCATTCATATATATATATATATATATATATATATATATATATATATATATATATATATATATATATATATGTGCACGCATTTAGGTCAAACGTCACCGCACCCTCAACAATATTCATGCAATGCCCCTGTAGGACCGCGGTAAGAATCGGTAGCGCGGCAATTTTGGTGTGCTTTTATTTGCTTTGCGGTGTAAGCTTGGGAGGGCATGCCAGCCGCGGGCAGCCAGCGTTGCTTGAGTGACAAGCGGTCGAAGCGCGACCGACCGGTTTTGCCGCGAGCGCAGACACGCGGCGCCAGCATATTACACTGCTTTGTTCAACGCCAGAGACGGTCGAGCGTTTCCAGTTACTACTAACTCAAGGAAAAGGGAACCAACCGGGGCAACGAAAGGGATGAGATTATAAACGTCGGTGTGACGGCCCCCTAATTGCCTCTCGGAACGGGCAGTCGGCGCATCAACGGGCCTCTTCCGAGACCCCGCGCACCGCGATGACTCCTCGCATCGGTTCGGCGTATGGCCCGGCCACGTACTGTTTGCGCGCCTGCAGAATCAGCGGCACGCGTTGCGAAAACTCCGAAGTCACCGACGACCTTTTCTGCCTGTCCGGCTTTGGTCCAGTAACTCTCAGAAGCGGGCTCGCGACACGGGAAATGGTGACGGCCGCCCGTTCGACGCCTGGGTTGCCTATTGTTGAATCGGGCATGTCTTCGACTGCGTCCCCATTTATCTGGGCAAAGGAACTCGTAAGCAGAAACATGCGCGGTCAGCGAGCGGTTCCTCGTACGGCGCACAGAGGCAAGAGGATTATAGCCCCGTCGTCAAGAAATTGACGTGGTAGGGGGAAATCGCCCTACGGCCGCAATACCGAGTACGGCTAGCTCTGTCTAGATAATTGTGCGCCACGAAGCTGGCCCTGGCCTCTATGCTTTTTCTAGTTTTGTTTTATTTACGTTTTCGGTTGTTGTGTTGTTTGGGGAGAGTGCATGAGTCCCACGTGCACGAAGGCGGGATCCTCGTGGCGTTTTTTTTTTAATCTACCCGATGTACTGTCCAATCAAAGGACAAGCAGGTGATTATGTGCCGAGAGTGTGGTAAGGGCGGAGCGCCAGGAAGGGATAAGAAGAGGCCCCGTGGCTCCACCGAGTGGTCTGAACCGAGCTTGCGGTGTTAGGCACGATCGGCTCCGCCGAACCCCGTAGGGTCGCCCTACAGAAGTCGGTTCATTTCCAAGTTGTTTTTCTTTTCTTTTTTTTTGTAACATTGATGTCCATTGTTTTGTCAAATCTGTAAATACAAGTTTTTCTCAGCCATCTAGAACTTCTTCAGCGTTGCTTCCGCTTCCTCGTCAAGCGACCAGCAGGCCAATAGCCGCTATTGGGATAGCGGCGTACGTTTCTTCTCCCACTTTGCTACACCACCGCGGGTGGTGCGCCTCGGGCGCCGAGTGGGGAGAAGTGGTTTCTTCTACATCGAGAAGAGAACCTGATTTTACTACCCTTAGAACAGCCGCTATTCTTACGCCGTGCATTCTCTGTCCAACTACATAAGACTTGAACTAGTTTTGAAACCTCGTACTGTCAAAAAGGTGAAGTTTACCGTGCCGCATTAGTACAGGGGCACGCTATATTCAGCTTCGCCAACTGTAAACGTTCGGCGCAGTGCTACCCAGGATTTTTTTTTTTTTTTGAGGAAGGGGGAGGGGAGAGGTGCAGCTAACTTTGGCAAATGGTGGTCACTGTGAAAACGTGTAAATATTTTATTATACCCTGAAAAGGTAAATTACGAGAACAATTCGTGGTGTAAGGTGCTCAGGTTCCATTCCTCTCCGCTTTTTACTTGTGGCTTTCTGGTTCTTCGTGCCTTTGACATGGTATTTTTTTCTCTTGTCACAGCTTTCTGAGCGCAGCTAACTGCCAATAAATCGAATCAGTTATTCTTAATATTGTAGACGCCTGCTCAAACAAGAAAGAGTTGAGAGAAGAAATCAGAATAAGACACGCCCTTCTAAATAATTTTTAATATCTCACAAGGACTTTTATGAAGCTCAAATTCAGTAGATTAGCGTGTCAGACTTCAAGGGTTTTTGCATCATGTGCTAGACATGAATGATGGGAATGTACGAAGAAATCTGCATCAAAAAAGCGCACCGGAGAAGCCGAAGCGCATAGCACTTCCTGCGCGCGGAGCGCGGCTATATCACTACTATTCGACTGCAGCGCCGCTGCTACGGGCAACGCGGAAGGCGTCAGGCAGCAAGGCACAGCTTCGTCACTCAGCACTTCTAGTACACTCTAACTTCGTGCTGCAGCGGATAACAGCCCACATCGGAATTCACGGCAACCAGTCCACCAACCAGCTGGCGAACGTGGCGCACGCAGCGGCCACGACCACAACATCGACGGTGAGCCCCTTCGATATAGCGCGCAGACGGGTTTCCCTTGCAATCACCTCCCGCAACCCGGATGCACGCGTGGAACCGGCTCTGACAACGGCACCAGATTGACTATGAGAGAGCGTGCTTTCCTCCTCCGCCTCCTCGTCGGTCAGCCAAGAATGGCGGAAAGAATGCATCGGCTAACATGAGAGAAAAGCCAGTCCTACTCGCATTGCCCGGGACCAGAGACTTAGGATCACATTCTGCTGCGGTGCGGTGCCTGTACTGATGAGCACCGTGATCTCTTTGCTGCGTATCGTCCACAGGGGTTCGTCAATTCCACCGAGGAGGAACGCTTGTTCCAAGGACGCACGCGAGTGTTTACAAGTGCGTGCTCGGAGCGCTTATCTCGTTCTTCGTGGAAATGCACTCCTGTGACTTTGTGGACGTGCGTGTCTTGATTATTTTTTTTTCTCTTCACGGACACGGCGCTCTTCGAGCGTCTGTGACTTCGAGGACGTGTGGGTCTGTGTTCTTTTTTTAAATGCGAAGCATTCCTTAGCGAGCTTCGGTGACATTGAGCGTATCTATCTATCTATCTATCTATCTATCTATCTATCTATCTATCTATCTATCTATCTATCTATCTATCTATCTATATATCTATCTATCTATCTATCTATCTAGCCGCTTACGACTGTTAGCTCTCCTGGCCGTTTAGTTAATGGTATCAATACCAAATTTGGTATGGCATAACATGACTGTATGACAAGCATGACTATCATGACATGTTAGTCGTTGATGTCATGATTTACGTTTCAAGGTCTTGCGGTGGTTTCTTTCAAATGACATGTTGCGAAATTGGCATGGTATGACATGACTGCATGGCGAACACAAGTGACAGACCCTAACGTGAAAATCATGACATGCATGTCATGTAAGTTATGATTCATGACTGCGCGCCACGCTCATGGTACGCTCACAGTCGTTTCGCTAGCTTCCCATATACCAAATTTTCTGTTACGGGACATGCATAGATGACGAAGGTATGTGACTGGTGCAAACATGGTAATCATGACATGCGTGTCATGTAACAACATGACTCGATGCAACATATTTCATAGAGATTTACAGATTTCATAGAGATGACACAGATTTCTCAGAGAATCGAGGACAGAAATTTCATAGATATATACACGCACACACATTAAATGCATAATACAACACCACTCGAACAGATCGCACTTTTTTTTTCTTACAGACTGCACGCGTTCTTCAACTGTACTTCGATAATCCGATATATATGGGCACAACTTTTTGACCGACCAGTGTGATACCAGTAGGAGAGCTGTTTTTTTTTTGCATCGATTTACAACAACGGTTATATCAGCAAGCGTAAACTTGAGGTGGGCTGCCGGCCGCTAAATGTCACACCAACCTTTTATTATAAATCTTCCCCATGTTATCTTTTTGGTTATACAATAATTACTTTGCACACCGGGCTCTTGGCCCCGCACGTGTTAGCACTGCTAATGTCCCAAGTCCATAAAATATACCTAAGTACATACAAACCATGGCAGCTCAATGATTTTTATTGAGCGATGGTGCGCAAACACATAAGCAGATGTAATCATGACAATGGACGTAGAAGAGCGGTGCACGCCTGCATACAAGCTGCTTACCGACGGCGTACTAGACCTTTTCGAGGAGCAGGCTATGAGATGAAACACAGCTGGCGATCACAGAATACACATCCTGCGATAATTTCGTAGTCATTTTAGACACAAATGAACACGTGTCCGCTATCTGCGGAGTCTTACGGGGACGGGGCGATGTATGTACTTCCAAAGAAAGAGACGGCCCGTCTCGGTTTTCTTCGTGCTCCCGTGCAGCCGCTTGTTGGTTCCGTCTGGCTCGTATCGGTGTTCGCCTTCGTGCTACATCTTTGGCGCATGGGGTGGACAATAAGGGCTGCACTTCACTCCAACAGACATTCTCTTCTGTGGAATCAAGTATATGCGATGCTTCATTCACCTGCCCCGGCGACACACTCCCACTGGTCACTGGCAGCGCGGTTCGGTGCAGACGACAGAG